GGGAGCGGCCACTGCATTCCAGTCTGGGTGACAGAGTGAGACTCCAACTCAAAAAAAATTGTCTTTCTGGCTATGAAATATCTTAATCTTCATTTATTCAAAAAAAAACCTCAGTCACTGGAGAAGTTATTAATTATATCTACATCAGGACAGATATCTGAATAAAACAAAAAAAGAAAACTGTAAAAATTCTACTGCCAAAATAATTCACATTAGTGTATTTGGAAGTGGGATACATTTCCCCCCAATCTGTTTGCAAGTGTTTGACAATGCATGGACAGACTTTGAGTTTTTGTGATTCTTTCTTTAGGTACTGGAAAAAATGATTGATGATGCAAAACAATGCAAGTGCTGAAGACTTGTTTATTCTATTGGGATTTTCTAATTGGCCTCATCTGGAAGTATTTCTCTTTGGGCTTATCTTGATTTTCTACTTGACAACATTAACAGGGAACCTGTTTATCATCATTCTGTCATATCTGGATTCCCATCTCTACACTCCCATGTACTTCTTCCTCTCAAACCTCTCTTTTCTGGATCTCTGCTATACCACCAGCTCTATCCCTCAGATGCTGGTCAACCTCTGGGGCCCAGAGAAGACCATCTCTTATGCTGGTTGCATGACTCAGCTTTACTTTGTCCTTGCACTGGGAACCACAGAATGTATCCTACTGGTGGTAATGTCCTATGACCGTTATGTAGCCATATGTAGACCTCTACATTATACTGTAATTATGCACCCTCGCTTTTGCCATCTGTTGGCTGCAGCTTCTTGGGTAAGTGGATTTACCACCTCAGCAGTTCATTCCTCCTTTACCTTCTGGGTGCCCCTGTGTGGACATCGTCAAGTGGATCATTTCTTTTGTGAAGTTCCAGCACTGCTGCAATTGTCGTGTATTGATACCCATGCAAATGAGCTGATTCTCATGGTCATGAGCTCCATTTTTGTGCTCATACCACTTATTCTCATTCTCTGCTCCTATGGTGCCATTGCTCGAACTGTATTGAGGATGCAGTCAACCACAGGGCTCCAGAAAGTCTTTGGGACATGTGGAGCCCATCTTATGGTTGTAGCTCTCTTTTTTGTTCCCGTTATATGTATATATCTCCAACCACCCTCAGGAAATTCTCAAGATGAAGGCAAGTTCATTGCCCTGTTTTATACTGTTGTCACACCTAGCCTCAACCCTCTAATCTACACCCTCAGAAACAAAGATGTAAGAGGTGCCATGAGGAGACTAATGGGGTGGGAGTTGGAGATGTGACAAAGTGGTCACATATCCTGTTATTTCTTTTTTTCTCAGTAGGTTTGTTCCATCTCGGTGGGTGATCCCTCTGCTCTTTTGTGATTTACTTTTGGTTTACAACTCATCAAACATGGAATAGCTCAGCCCCAATTTTGTTATTCTTTTTGTTGTTTAATTCTGAAATGTTCTCTTAAGAAAAACTTTCAATTAGTATTGCATCAGCCTTTCAAAATTTCATATTTTATTTTTGTTAAAATTATGACTTGGTGGCTCAGCCTGTAATCCTGCGCCTTTGGGAGGCTGAGGTGAGTGGATTGCCTGAACCAGCGGGTTCGAGACCTGCCTGGGCAGCAAGACTTCATCTCTACAATAAATAAAAAAATCTGCCGGGTGTGGTAGCGCATGCCTGCAATTTCGGCTACTCGGAAGGCTGAGGCGGAGGGATCACTGGAGCCCAGCAGGCGAGGCTGCGGTGACCAGAAGCAGCCACTGCACTCCAGTCTGGGTGACCGAGTGAGACTCCAACTCAAAAAACAAAAAAAAATTATAGACTGTGATTTCAACATAAATAAGTGTGTGCATGTGAATCGTTATGATACAATTTCAAAAATTTTTCTAAGTTATGCTAAGTTATGAACTGACCATTAATACATATAGAAAAAGGGGAAGCATTGCAAAGACTTAAGACTTAGACTAATGGAGTTTTTGATCATTGAACAGGACTCAAATTAAGCCAAAATGTGTCATAGCAAAAACAAACGGGAAACATGATGAATAGCATAATTTATCATGTGGTAAAAGAATATATGACAATTCTTTGGCAGAAGTACACTTTTTCCAACTAAATTGTATGTGTAATTTATCCTGTAGGTCTATATACTTGTCACATTGAATAGGATGAAAAATTTGTTTAAAGTGTTTAATTAGTTGATCCTCCCATTTATTTATTGAACTTATTCTTCATTCATTTTACTAGCTAAATATTACTGGATGTCTACTCGTTTGCAGATTGTGGGATTCTAGGTAACAGATATGAATATAATACACCAACAATTGTCCAACAGACACACTCTTTGCTTCCATTCTCTTGTGGGGAAAATGGCAAGTAAGATAAAAGATGGAGTATCTGTACCTGACTTAATTTGTCACTGGGCATAATGCTAATATATTAAGATAGCTTTTAAAAATAAAAAACAATACTTTGGTTTCTCTTGAGAGCCTATAAATCTTTCACTTTTAAAAAGTCAAAAACAAAACAAGAAGTTTAGTCATAAATTTTGAAAATAAACAATTGATAACTCCTGTAAGAAGATGATACTATTAAGAGCAATAAAACAAAACTGAACATGCATTTAACTTGCTTTAGTTGACTTAGTTAGTGACATATTGAAGACACTTAAAACTCTTCTTTTAACGTCATTGATCTTTGTTGAATAGTATTAATATTTTAAAATTCTTTATTTAAAATTTTTTCCAGCTTTATTGAGGTATAATTCACAAGTAAAATTGTACATATTTAAAGTGAACAATATGATTTTATGTATAAAATATATGTACATATAATTATATATGTCAAACTAAATTGTGAAATGATTATCACAATCAAATTACCACATCCATTATCTCACATAGTTACCATGTATGTGTGTGTATGTATGTGTGTGCATGGACACTTAAAATCTTATCTCTAAGGACATTTCAAGTACACAGTACAATATTGACTATAGTCACCATGATCCGCATTAGATTTCCAAAACTTACTTATCTTTTTTTTTTTTTTTTTGAGTTGGAGTCTCACTCTGTCACCCAGGCTGGAGTGCAGTGGCCTCTCCCGGCCACCGCAGCCTCAACCTGCTGGGCTCCGGCGATCCTTCCGCCTCAGCCTTCCAAGTAGCTGGAACTACAGGCGTGCGCTACCACACCTGGCTTGTTTTTGATTTATTGTAGAGATGAGATCTTGCCAAATTGCCCAGGTGGGTCTCGAACCCACGGGCTCAGGCAATCCACTCAACTCAGCCTCCCAAAGCATGGGATTACAGGCTGAGCCACCAAGCCCGGTTTACTTATCTTATAATTGTAAGTGTGTACCATTTGACCAATACTTCCCCATTTTCCTCTACCCCCAGCCCACAGCAACCATCATTTTATTCTCTGTTTCTATAAGTTCAACATTTTTAGATTTCACATATAGGTGAAATGATACAGTATTTGTCTTTCTGTGTCTGGTTTATTTCACTTAGTACAATGTCCTCAGGTTAATCCATGTTGTTGAAAATGGCAAGATTTTCTTCTTTTTTAATGGTTGAATAATATTTCATTGCGTGTGTGTGTGTGTGTGTGTGTGTGTGAGAGAGAGAGAGAGAGAGAGAGAGAGAGAGAAATAAAATATTCTTTATCCATTTCTCCATCGATGGATATGATAGATATGTAGGTTGTTTTCTTTTTCTTGGCTACTGTGAACAATGCTGAAATGAACATACAGTTACAGATATCTCTTTGAGGTACTGATTTCCTTTTTCTTTCCTCCTTTCTTTCTCTTTCTTTCTCTCCTCCTCCTCCTTCTTCTCTCTTGCTCTCCTCTCATTTGTGTGATACATACCCAGTGGGATTGCTGAGATTACAGTACATATCTATCACACATACTTTATACAATCTGAGAACTCCTGCCTCCATGGAAATCTTACAACTTGGAATACTTCATGTATCACTCCAACTTCTCCTTATCTAAATGGCCTTCTTCAGATTTAATTGAAGTATAATTTGCATTCAGTGAAATCTACCCATTTTTAAGTATATAGTTTAATGAGTTTTTTCACATTTTCTTTTAATTACATTTTTATTAAACATTGAATATCAGATTTAATAAACTATCAAAAAGGAACAACAAACTATCAGAAAAAGGATATAATTATGATAATTATTTACATTATAATAGCACTACAGACCTTATAAATCACATTATTATATTTTGTTCATTAGGATTTTGGTCATCATAGAAACCCTAAAATCTTTGTTGACAATTAGCCTCTGGAAACAAAAGATAAATACAATATAAACATGATTGTTCCCATGTTAAAGATGAAAAAATTGAGCCTCAAGGAGATTAAGTAGCTTTTCCAAATGTACACATTAATAAATGGCAAATTTGGGTCTCAAAGGCAATTTGGTATCAAATTGAAAGTTCAGTTCAATGAATTTTGACAAATGTATAGTTGTACAAGTACCATGACAATCAAGACATGGAACATTTCTGTCACTCCCCAAAGAACTTTGTGTTCTTTTACAGTCTACCTCTCCCTTCACTCATTAGCCTCAGGCAACCATCGATTTGCTGCTAGTATAACTTTTCTATTTCTAGAATTTTGTATAATTACAATCATATACAGTGTGTAATCTTTGGCTCTGGTTTCTTTCACTTAGCATGATGCTTTTGAAATTTAGTATGTCACTGCATGTATCAGTTACTTCCGTGTTGCTGGTTAGAATTCCATTTTATAAATATGCCACAATTTACTTATTTATCTGTGATAGACTTTGGGGGTATTTGCAGTTTTGTTATTATGTGTAATGCTGTTAAGAAAATTTGTATATGAGTGTTTGTGTGAATAGGTGTTTTCACTTAACTTGGGTAAATACCCAAGAGTGTTATTGATAGACCATATGATTACTGCATGTTTACCTTTATGAGCAATTACCATAATGTTTTCGAAGTGGCTGTTCTATTTTCACTTTAAACAGTAGTTTTTGAGAATTCCAGTTGCTCCCACATTCTAATACTTGAGATACTATTGTTATACTTTTAACCTCTCAAATGGGTTAATAGTTATGTTTTATTGTGGCTAAAATTTGCATTGAAGACTGTTGAGGTTGATCAACTTTTCAAGTACTTCATATATCTTATTTTGAGTAGTTCTTATTCAGATATTTTCCCCCTTTTTAATGGAGTCATTTGTCTTCTTATTTAGTATTAAATACTCTTTATATATTCTGAACTCAAGTTTTTGGTCAAATAAATGTTTTCTCCCAGTCTGTGCATTGCCTTTTATTTTATTTTTATTTTTTGAGTTGGAGTCTCACTCTGTTGCCCAGATTGGAGTGCAGTGGCCGCTTCCGGCCACCGCAGCCTCCACCTGCTGGACTCCGGTGATCCTTCTGCCTCAACCTTCCAAGTAGCTGGAACTACCAGTGTGTGCTACCACACCAGGCTAGTTTTTGATTTATTGTAGAGATGAGGTCTCACAAAGTTGCCCAGGCGGGTCTCGAACCCATGGGCTCAGGCAATCCACACACCTCAGCCTCCTAAAGCGTGGGATTACAGGCTGAGCCACCGAGCCCGGCTGCCTTTTATTTTTAAAATACTGTAGCATCTTTCAAAGAACACAGTTTTAACTTTAATGAAATACCATGTGTTATTTACACACACACACACACACACACACACACACACAAAGCCAGGTGGCAATTGACTGTGAATTGTATTGATGTTATAGACCAATTTAGAAAGAATTGACAACTTGACATTAACTTTTCTGATCCAGGAACATGATGCTTATCTTTTTTAATTTACATTTTGAGTCTCCATTGAACAAATATTGTCCATATTTTGCTAAATTCAGTCATTAAATATTTCATGTTTTTTGGATACCACTGTAAATGGCATAGAAATACAATTAATTTTTGCATATTGATCTTGTGTCCTATGACCATGCTAAATATATCTTTTAGTTCTGGTAGTGTTTTAATAGATTCCTTAGAATTTTCTAAGTACATAATTGTGTCATTCACAAATCTAGACTTCTACTTGTACCTCTCCACTTGGTATGACTTTTATTTTCCTTTCTCGCCTTGTTTCACTGGCTAGGATATCTAGAATGATTCTGAGTGGAAGAACAGAGAGCAAAAATTCTTGCCTTGTTCTCAATCTTTTTTTTTTTTTTTTTGAATTGGATTCTCACTCGGTCGCCCAAACTGGAGTGCAGTGGCACGTTCCTGACCACAGCAGCCTTGACCTGCTGGAC